ACTGTTCCACTCAGTTTGGGCCTCACCTGCCAAATGTCAGCTTCTAACTTGCAATCGTTTACAACATTCCCCAAACCTGCATTTCTACACTACACTACAAGACAGAATCTCAGTTGTGGCCTGTTTTATGCAAACAGCAACGTGCCACCTCATTCCCTAATGGTGTGTGTGTGTCTGTGTGTGTGTGTGGGTGTGTGTGTACGGGGTGGGAGGGACGTCTCACCATGAAAAAGACCCAAGCTGGAATAAGCATGATCACAGCAGCTGCGCTGGTGTAGAACTGAAGCTCAGGAGCACTGCAAAAGAAAAAAGGAGAAAAAAAAGGATAGAGGGACGAAGAAATTAATGTACGTCCCTCAGAGAGGAGAGGCAAAGCTCCTATTAAATCATCATCACCTTCTTTTAACAATTACATCAACCCTTGCGGGGATTATTTCTGGGCAACTGAACTAGAGCTAGCAGAGTGATTCATGGCCGGATGCCCTTCCTGTCACCGGGGCGGAGTTTTGTTCAGCAGAGAATATTCTCACTGTGCCCAAAGTGAGAAATACCTGCCTCTGCCTAGGATCGAACTCGCAGCCTCCCGATTGTGAGGCGTGAGCTCCACCTCGTCGGCCACCGCACCCCTCCCAAAAGCTTCTGTTCGATCATGCGAAGGCTGAAGGACCAGATACTTACGAGAAACGGTATTTGTCCCCGCTCAGCAGCTTTTTGGAGAAAACGTTCTGCAAACTGCAAAAAAAAAAAAAAAAAAAAGAGAGAGAGAGAAGGAAGCCAAATTCACTTCAAAAGTTGGGTGGAAATCGCCTAGACCGAAGGGGGAAGACCTGCCCCAAACAGCTACAAATAACACCCTGCAGATGTTTCCCCCTGTCTAAATAAGGCCAGGACAGGAGCTGTTTGCGCAAATCCACCCGCCGCCTCCCACCTGCCTCCTCCTTTGAGCTGTCGAGGTGCCTACCAGTCCATAATATTCGTCGACAAGGCTGCCGAGAAGCCGAGGATGTTGAAACTCAGTTCGGTCGCGGTGCACAAGGCCAGCCCGCCCATCACAGGGACCAGGGAGAGATTTACAAACAGCCCTGGGACAATTGGGGACAGGAGGAGGAATCAGAAGAGGACAAAGAGAACGGAAGCGTAGCCAGCGAAAGATTTCTGGCCCATTTGACTTGCGGTCGAGGTTCAGGAAGGTTGAAAAGTGGTCTCTAAAGGGCTGAATAATGTGTTTTATTCCTTTGTGTTCCTTACTGTTTTTAGGAACAACCCGAGGCTACGAATATATCCAACATATATTCCTCCTCTCCTATTTTCTCCACAACAACTTGAGCCACGGTGGCGCAGTGGTGAGAGTGCGGTACTGCAGGCTCCTTCTGCTGACTGCCGGCTGCCTGCACTTTGGCAGTTCGAATCTCACCAGGCTCGAGGTGGACTCAGCCTTCTGTCCTTCCGAGGTGGGTCAAACGAGGACCCAGATGGTTGGCGGGGGCAAAAGGCTGACTCTGTAAACCGCTTAGAGGGGGCTGTGAAGCATTGTGAAGCGGTATATAATTGAATTGAATTGAAATCTTTATTGCCATTGTACGTACGTACACAGTATACACATGCAATGAGATTTCACACAACACCCAGAGACCAGACTCAACATGCACACACACGCGACAATCCCCAAACGCCTCCCCACCCGCTCAAATTTCCCGCCTCCTAAAAACACACAAGCATCCACACAACAGACCAAGTAATACTGTCCAACAGCTCACTGATGGTAGTCCTTAAGTTCATTGTTGAGTGGGATTATAGCTCTGGGATAAAAACTATTCAGAAAACGAATATTCAGAAAATATTCAAAAAATATAAGTAAGTGCTGCTGCTTGTAAGGTGGCTTGGAGAGAGGGAGGGAGGGAGTGTGAGAGAGAGAGGGAGAGAGAGACACAGACAGACAGACAGAGACAGACACTGGGCCAAGCCAGCAGGCATCCTTGGCTAAGGTGGGACTTGAATTCATGGCCTTCTGCTTTCTAGCCTGACGCCTTAACCACTACATCACACTGGCTCTCGATGATATGGAGGGATAGGCTCTTCCAGATGTCAGCGAGCAGTTCTTCCAGTGAGGACTTCTGGGAGAGGACGCTGAGCAACATCTGGAGGAGTGAAAGGATGCCTGCAACTTGCTTCCAAGGTGAAAGTCAGACCGGCAGCCAAGATGGCTGAACAAGTAGATGCCTTTTGCCGGGAGAGTGGAGATGGGACACGGGGGAGATCTTGCATTTTTTACAGCGACGGTGCAGGAAATGTTCCTTATAGGATGACACAAACATCGAACAGGCCGGTGGAAATGAGATGGCAATTCCCCAAAACATGTTTTAAGCCGGGAGAAAGAAAAAAAAACATTAGGAACTCAAATTAGCACTGTTTTAAATTCTTGGGTTTCTAAAAGGGAGGGAAAACACAGGCAAGCTTCCAAGAGCCAAACACGATTTGTCTGTTTCAATAAAGTTATAGTCTTTCTTGAGGAATCTCTTTTCTTGTAGGGTTGGCAAATAATGGAGTGACTATCAGCTCGAAAACTCACCTGGGCTGAATTTCTGATTGTCTGTAGCAACCAGGTATTCAGCTTTTCCTGAACATGAATAAAAACAGCTCCAAAGATTGGAATATCAAAACCTCACCTACATCCTACGCTCGGTTTCACGTTTGAGGGATATTGATTTCAGCAAAAACGTACCGGTGTATTCTCCTAAAATCATGCGCGACATAATAACGGTAAAAATTGGTGCTGAGCTCTTCACGGTTTCGGCAAAGGAAACGGCCACATTCTTCAAGCTGACAAGCCCCAAAACCACAGTTGCAAACCTGAGAAGCAGCAAAGGGGGGAAAGGCAGTTTAACTTTGAAGCAGCCCAGACACACCCAGGAAATTATTTTCTTCTTTGACCCAAAACGTTTCCAGAAGAAAAACAAAGCTCTGAGCAATGGAAGACTTTAGTTTTATCCTGTAATTAAATCTATAAATCTGGGTTTCCCCCCCCCCTCTGATTGATCTATATAGCTAATTAGAGAGATGTAGTCCAGAAATATCTGTGTTGTGGTTCTCCAGCAGCAAGTGAGGATGGCTGAGGTCTCGGAGAGCGAGGACTCAGATGAGGGGCCTGCATGGGATGTAGGGATAGGGTCAGGACCATCAGGGAGTGGAGTGCTGCCTTCAGAGATTGTGGAGGCTGGCAGCAGTGAGGAAGAGGTCCCCGAGGAGCCTGTGCCCAGTGTGCGTGCGTGCAGGGCTGCTTGAAGGAAAAGGCAGCTACAGTAGCATGGGTGACTCGAGAGTAAGGCTGCAAAGTAATGACCCCTCCCTTAAGAGATAAAAGCCAGCTGAGAAACCGGAGTTCTTTGCAGGAAGCAAAGACGTTTTTGCACTCAAGCCTTGTGGACGTCCAGACTCTCTTAGTTTGTGTTTGGAGACTCTTTGCGTTTGGAATATTTCTTGGCAACTTTATCTAGTGTTCTTGGCAGCCTTGCACCACCTTGGCAAGGCTCGTTCTTATCAGAGACAATTAGCTTGAAAGAGCCTTTTAATCGGGAAGGAACAGAATTCGTTGAGAACCATTAAAAGGTTTTCCTGTTACCTCTGTTTGGTGTTTGTTTCCTTGGAACAAGGTTTGGGTCAGAACAATCTGAAAAGCTTGTGGAGGTGGAGAAATCTGGCTTTTTAAAAGAGCCAAGGCAAAAGCAGATTGATAACTTTTTTTTTTTTTTTAAAAGGAAATTCTCCAATGTTTGTCTCGGAGGATTCCTCCAAAAAATGCTAACAAAACAAATTAATTTCGTTTTCTCCAAGGGGGAACACAACACAGATCTGGATTTGGGGGGTGGGGCAAGAAAGACAGGCATCCACCAGTGAAGGAGTGACTCAGTTTCCCCAAATGCGCCCAGGCCTTACCGCATCAGCCCAACGAAAAGCATAATCATGATGAAATTCGGAGGGTAGGAGAGACGGCTCTTGTGCTGATAAAGACAGCAGGGGACAAACATTTTGATGCAGCCAATGAAGGTGGTGGAAAGCATCTGAACAGCGCCTGGAAGAAAGAGAGGATGCCTAAAATTAGGATACCCAGAATGGCCTGAGGTTTCCCCTTCCAGCCGGACGAGAAACTACGATACGGACAGAGTCGGTTTGTCAGAAGTTAAAACATGGGTGTCAACTAAAAAGAGACTCCTTTGGTCTTTTTTTTACAATGCATTCCTTAGGTGCCTAGATAAACACCCTGGCAGCCCAAAGTTGTCGGAGCGGTAGGATATTACTGGAGAGCATGATGAATGACTCTTGGCGATGGATGTGTCCCATTGGAGGATATACATCCAGTGGGTGGGGGAGGAAGACCAGGGTCAAGGTGGAAACGAATGAAGTGTTTTAGTATTGGCTGCATCCAGCTAACGCTAACATGGCCACTTCTATTGAATCAATTTTCTTTTCTCTGAGACGCGGCTAGAGACTTATGATCTGAATGGGAGTGGATTTGTTGGAGTCCTGACAATGGGTTGTCGTCTGGTGATTGGATTAACCTGGGTTCTGGGTCCATGTGGGATAAGGGCGAAGATGCTGAGATTCAAGCTCATATTCTGGCTCAGGGAGTTCATTGAATAACTTTGGGCCAGACCAAATCTCTCAGCCTGGCCTACCTCGCAGGGTCGTTGAGGGGGGGGAAACGGGAGAAAGGAATACTAGGTACCACTTTCCATCTCCTGAATTTAAGGTGGGAAAGAACTTAATAAATATATTCGAATATCTGACATACATGCATAAATAAATATACTGAACTGAAGAAGGGAAATCCTCTCTGTGTGCTACGTCACCTAAGTCGAGGTTAGTGTGTGAACCAAGAAAGAAAGAGAAAGAGAAAAGGAGAAGAATAGAATAGAATAGAATAGAATAGAATAGAATAGAATAGAATAGAATAGAATAGAATGGAATGGAATGGAATGGAATGGAATATAGAATAGGATAGAATAGAATAGAATGGAATGGAATTCTTTTTATTGGCCAAGTCTGACTGGACACACAAGGAATTTGTCTCGGTGCAAATGCTCTCGGTGTCCATAAAAGAAAAGATACATTCGTCAAGAGTCAAGAATCATCAGGTACTTTGTAAATAGTTGGACAGTGTTGAGGGAATTATTTGTTTAGCAGAGGGATGGCGTTCGGGTTACTTACCCAACATACTCGGTTCTCCTTCCAGCAGTGACAAGATGTACTTATTGAGGAAAAGTGTGCAGAAGCTGAAGAAGAACCAGAGGGTGAGGTAGGTGAGGGCGTAAGAACTCCAGACGCCCAGGTCCGACTCAATAACGGTGGTCTCCGTGATGGTGATTTTCAGGACGCTCTCTTCCGGCACGCTGTCGCTCCGGGCGATGACGAAGCGTTCACTCCGGCTAGGGAAGAGGGAGCCGAACTGGAAAGGGTTTCTCGCTTTGGGCTTGTCGTCCGACAGAGGCAAAGCGAGGGAGGTGGAAGAGCCGGAGTCGGCCGGGTCCAAAGGGGAGCTGCTGGTTAGGGTGGCCATGTTTGGAAGTGGGGGGGCCCCCCCGGACGCTCAACTGCCAAAGCGGAGCCCTCCGACTTGAGCAGGGGGCCCCTCCAAATTCCCTTGGCTTGCGAAGAGTTTCAGGTGCATTTGGTCACACGTTGCTCCATTGCCTGGAATGAAGAAAGGAAGGAAGGAATGAGGGAGGGAGGAAGAGAAGGGGAGAAAAGGAGGAGGGAGGGAGAAAGAAAGGAGAGGAGAGCAAAGGAAAGGAGGAGGGAGGGAGGAAAGGGGGGAGGGAGGAAAGGGAAGGAGGAAAGAAGGGAGGAAGGAAGGAGAGGGAAGGGAAGGAAAGGATAGGATAGGAGGTGGGAGGGTGGAAGGAAAGGAGGGAGGGAGGAAGGAAGGAAGGAAAGGAAAGGAGGAGGGAAAGAGGGAGGGAGGAAAGGAGGGAAGAGAGAAGCTTGGACATCAGAGCATAACAAAGTATACGGAGTTCTGAGATTCACCAAATTGGCATTCCCTGCGGAGTTTTATCTGTTGAATCTTGGGTGGGAGGGCTTTTGAGAAAGACAAGAGGGGTCATCATACAGAAGGAGGGGATTTATTCTCAAAGGGCTTAACCAAACTCTGAACAAAAAAAAAAGAGAGAGAGAGAGAGAGATTTTGCCTAAACACCAGGAAGAATCTTCCGGCTGTCAGTCAGCGGAACAGGCTGCCACATGAAGTGCTGAGTTCTCCTTCAAACAAGAGCCACCTGTCAAGAGACCTATTAGACCAGACTTTCTTACCCAATCCACCCCACCCCTTTGCCACCGTCTGCTGTTCTAAATCTCCCCAAACCCCTCCTGCAGCGTCAAATAAAATGGATTTGTAGTGCGGTAGATATTCAACGCTGAAGGATCCTGGCTTCTTCCAGACAAAAAGAACGCCCAAAACAGAGCCAAGAAAACAGCTGCCTTAACAAGCCTGGCTGGGAGTTAAATGGTTAGGAGGAAAAGCTATTTAAAACAAAAACAAAAAAACCCAAGCTGTGATCTGGTGCCACGTCTTTCAAAGCCCATCCCTGCCAAAAAAAAATAAAATAAAAAATTCCATGCAAGTTCTAAGAAAAGGACGTCAAAAAAGGGAACAATTTTGTGATTGCCAAAACAGATTTCAGTCAAAAGCAGGCCACCTGGGTCTAGTGCACTCGGTGAGACGGAATGTCACACCTAAAGATATAATACTGCTAGTACAGTGGCAGTGAAATTCAGCGCAATGTTTTGTTTTCATTCTCCCTCTGAGGAAGCAGGCAGCCGAACAGAGAGGCTGTGGAGAAGTAAACAGGCAGAGAGAAACAAAATGTGGTCGGTGGCAAATTAAGACAGGGCGTTGTCACTGTCAATGAGATTAGGTGTGTCTAACGCCAACATCTCCCTGGGCAGAGGGCAGATTAATAAGCCAAGTTCAAAATTTAACTGAAAAAAAAAAAAAGAGTTTTAAAGGCAGGCACACTCGATCCCCAATGAAAATTAACAGTCCGATGAAAAACAAATGAAATTAAAAACAAGGTGAGCATAACTCACCACACTGGATTTGCCTGGCTGTTGGGGAAAAAAAAAAACCCAAGAAACTTCAAATTTATGATACCGGAAATTATATATACAACGGTTGGCAACACCGGGAACTAATAAAGGAGAATATTGGAAACAAGAGGTTCTTGGCGTTCTCTGAGCTTGGTTGCTTCCTTGCAGATGTTTCATTACCCAACTAGGTTACATCATCAGTGATAGCAGGGAGCAGAGTTTGCTCTCCGGTTCAATCCTGTCCAATCCAGTGTAAAGTCCTTTGACTGGATAGAACTGTATATAACCGGAGAGCAAACCCTGCTCCCTGCTAACACTGATGATGTAACCTAGTTGGGCAATAAAACATCTGCAAGGAAACAACGAAGCTCAGAGACCACCAAAGACCCTCTCAACACAGGGAACTTTTTGCTAATTTTGAAAACTGCCTGTTTCAAGTCATGGGACCACATCCTTCAATATCAAAAGTCACAAGAAATGAAGTACCAGCAGCATTTTGATTCTCTGGTTTGAGACGGTGCTTTCTCCCCTGTGCGTTATTTTTCCTTATGTCCAGGTGTACAAAGGTACTTGCCAAATGAAGATCCTTTGTGCAGATAGCTCTGCCCTTGAAAAAAAAAATGAACACATGTGCTGAAAGAGCCTTTGTTTTCTTGGCAATTTCCAAACCCCGAAAGCATCAAAAGCAAATCGATCAAGAATGAACTTTTTTAGGCCAGAGCTGTGATGACGGAAACCTTTTTAGCCTTCTTCTGTTACTTTATATCGTTAAAGATGAGATGGTAACAACCTTCCTCAGTTACTATGAATTCATTTCAGCTTCATGTACAACTGCCAATAACAGTGGAAATGTTGTATTTTGGCATATGTACATAAACACTGTAAATATGCCCTATTCATAGTATAGTCCTGTTGCAGAAATCAAATGTGCACATACACTGGAATTCAAAAAAATAATCAAAAATACAATTGCATATGGCTGTCATAATTTTTTGAATACTGTAACCTAGCCATAATGATATACTAACTATATTTTATCACTCCCTCCCTTACCATAAAACTCTTGCCAAAGATACGTTGAAGATACAACACAGGTTTATTCATAAATAATGAAAAGTTTGAGCAATTAATTCAATTTTCTGGGTTCCTCTTTAATCTCACTGGGCTTAGCTTTAGCAGACGGCGAAGGTTTATGCCACAGCGATTCACATTATATTCCTACTGTAAAACAATTCTAAAAAAAGGATCCGTTTAGATGATTTCCAAACTACCTTCTGTCTAACTCGATGGTAATTCACGCGTACCGCTCACTTTTTCCTCGGCAGGTACAAAACTCAACAGCTGTTGCCCCTCTTTGTCAAAGGTATTGATTTTCATGAACAAATAACTGCAACACGGCCCACGCCAACAATGAACTATATCCAAAAGCGTCCTTGGTTCTAAATTGATTTTCTTTTTGCAGTTGTGGAGCCAGAAAAGGTCGGTGTGTCAAAATGTCTCTCAAACAGCCCTTTCCAATCACAATTGCAAATTATGCCCCTACTTGCAATGCAGCGCAACACAATTGTGCCCAGACTGTCCTACACACAAACACACACCTGCCTCTGTTCTTTGGCAGATCCTGTCCTCTTCATCTGCAGCCATTACCGGGACTAACTCCATCAGACAGGGAGGTGGGCTGCCTGCTACACAATCTGCTCCTCCTACGGCAGGGCGGAGCAAGCCAGAAGCGGAAGGAGGAGAAAAAGACAAAAGAGAGAAATTACCAAGAGCCACGCGTAGATCAGATTTAACTTGCGTGTGAGGATGACTCTCTGAGCATGCGTAAAATGCCAATCGGTTTTCAGACTCAAATTTCCCTGTGGGGGAAAAGAACAAATCTCAGTAATGCAATTTTCTTTTTGAGAAATGCCCCTTAAGGGAAGAAGGGACTGGAGTAAACCCTTTTAACATTTTTTTTTTCCTTAAGAGACCATGGCAGGAATGGAGTATGTTCTAATTTAGTGAAAAGAAGGACTAGAAGTGATATGGGGGGCAGTCTTCCAATACTTGAGGGGCTGCCCCAAAGAGGGGGGTGTCAACTTATTCTGCAAAGCCCCTGAAGGCAGGACAAGAAGCAAAGGATGGAAACTCATTTAGGAGAGAAGCAACCTAGAACTAAGGTGGAATTTCCTGACCGTGAGAACAATTAACCAGTGGAGCTACTTGCCACCAGAAGTTGTGGGCACTCCATTACTGGAGATTTTAAAGAAGAAATTGAAAACTATTTGTCTGAAACGTTACAGGGTTTCCTGCTTGGGGGGGTGGGAAAGGGGAGGGAAGGACTAGAAGATCTCCAAAGTCCCTTCCAACTCTGTTATTGTGTTGTTATTCTGTTATCCTGGCGATGTTTAAAGAAAGAGTTTTCTGAACTGGAGGGATGATGATTTCTCTTGCTGAGGATGCAGGAATTAAAAAAAAAATTCATGCAGGGATTAATCCAGAGACAATTTACCACTGGACTCTAAAAATTGGGAAGGAACGAGAGAAACGGCCCTTAATCTTTTGGTTTTATTAATTTTACTCTATTTAATTGGTCCAATGTACACACCGCCCATCTCCCAAAATGACTCGAGGCAGTTTACAAGTAAATTCAAACATTGCTCATCCACTTTGGAAGCCAGTGAGATATTGAGAGTTCCCTGAGGTGAGTTTCAAACCATTCCTAATTAAAGCCAAACAGGTTTCTAGTCCTGTTTGAGATACTAGACACCAAGTCTTCACAGTTATTAGATACCAGTCTCTACATTTAGAACTAAAACCAAACTGAAATGGTGGTTGAAGTTACTGAAAGCCGAAGCCTTGCTTTCTACCATAGTCCCGTTTACACGTATAGTCAAGTTTCTAGTCCTCTCGAGGCAACACTCAAGGGTCACTCAGATTTCTTCTGCTTTCTTTTATCCAGGTCAGCAAGGAAGGGAATATTTATGTCAGGATATCTTATGGGAGGGGGGGGGGAACGGTTTTATTGCCTTCTAAATCAGCTTAAATTATAACGTCTACAGCCTCCCAGCTTAGAAATGGCTAGTTATTTAAGAGCAGGAAGTGACGTCACAAGTTAGCACATAAATGAGAAAAATACTACCGTAGACTAGAGACAATTAGAGTGGGAAGTTAAGTCTAGGTGACTCTCTCTCTCTCTCTCTATGGCACCTCGGCTTCGAACCCACCCGGAGATCGGGGGCAGGACTTGAAAATGGCGCGTTTCCGCCTCGGCCGGAAGTTGCTCTGATGGGGCCCTTCCTTTCTCTATGGCCACCGCCCAAGAGTACTTCCCGTATTTGGAAGCGCCCGCTTCATCGGTCGACTGGGGCATGTAACGGTTGCCGTCGCTATGGAGACGCCCGGGACGAGGTAGCAGCAGGTCACTGCGCCTTGCGGGGATCCGTAGACGACTGTTGGGGGTCGCGGGGTGGGGGAGGAAAACCGACCGATCTTTCCGTTACAGCTCCGTCTCGTTGGCCGCGGCGTGCCGTCAGAGGGGCGTCACGATGCGTCTTCTCTGACGTCACGGCCCTCTGATGGGGTGGGTTTTGACGTCACGGCCCCTCTGATGTGGGGGGTGGGTTAGAAAATGGAAAGGAGGGGTTGGAAATGTGGGACTACAGTCCCCATCACTCCAGGGGATAATGGAAACTGGGGTCTCGGTGCATCTGGGAGATGCCAGGATCCCGCTAGGACCAGGAATCATGATTTATTCGGGAATCATGATTTATTCAACCAGCCCAACTGAGTTTGCGGGATTAGTGTGAATCCTAATCCGGTTGGCACAGTAGTTGGGGCTAATCATCATCATTGGCCAGCTTGGTAATTCCATGCGCCCTGCAAAATAAACCTCAGCATGGACTCACCCACCTCAGGAGGACTAGAAACTTAGCTTTTTGAGTTAACTTTGGGCAGCTGGGTAGCCGATGGCCCTGGTGTTTTTCCTGGCCCTTGTGCCAGGAAACTGCCAACGCAAGCCAACATTTCAGTGCTGTCCCCTACACACACACACTTTACTTGAACCAATGTGCCAATTGTGCAATTTCGCAAATGATTCAAGTGCTGCTCTCCATCAATGGCTTCGAAATAACACTTTCCTCCAAACGTTTGTCTTAGAACATTATCTTTTAATGGCCCCATAATCCCTTGCAGGTTGGTCTGGGCAACTGAATGGAGCTGAGTGTTTACTGGCCGGATGCCCTTCCCTGTCGCCAGTGTGGAGTTTTGTTCAGCAGATAGATTCTCATTGTGCCCAGAGAGAGAGAGAAATATTTGCCTCTACCTAGGATCGAACTCACAGCCTCCTGATTGTGAGGCGAGAGCTCCACCTCTAAGCATCTAACATCTTCTTAGATCCTCCAGCCAAATCTCGACTTCATTATTTTTTGTTTTACAAACATTGAAAATGGATAGTTCTGTCCCAAACAAAGGACCCTGAGGCCTTTCTAATTCCCCCAATTCCTTTCCTTCCTGCTGACTTAGCACACCATGATGGACCGGCACATTTCCATATATATATTTGCGCAATTCCACTTATATTTTTACTCTCTTTTTTTCTTCATCTATTTTTCCTCTTTTTTATTCATCTAGGGTTCTCCTTTCTCAGTCAGAAGAAGCACTGGCCTCTCCTTTGCCAAACGAAAGCATAAACTCTCCGTTGCCAAACCTGACACCAAGACACCAAGAGCTGATCGCCACGCCGTGTGGCCCTGTAAGTATCTGAACTTCACCAATCTTGTGAATTTAAATTAAAGTGGTTTGAGCCATTGGCCCTTGTGTGTTTAATATCTGGAGAGAAAGAACAGATGTAATTCTGACCTGAGGGTACGTTGAGGCACTGCCATCAACTCCTTTCTGGCTTAATTTTACAAACATGGCATACAAGCAGCTGAGGGCACCTCCCTTAACCAACTTCAGGAAGCAAATTACTAGATGGAACTTAACTAGGAAATCTGAGAATTGGGGGCTAAACAAGGGAGCTGAAGTCCAACTTGGAGAATTTTTGTTTTTACATTACCTGCACTTTTTATCGTTCCAGATCAAACGATGGTCCGAATTATCATCCCCTGTCAAGATCTACTTCTGTGTCACCATCCTTTCGTTGTTGAGTGTCATTGGATTAACTATAGAGACCCTCTTCCAGCAGAAAAACGAAGATTTAACTGTGTCTCTCATCCAGATCATTGGCCTCGGTAATCAAACCGTTGTCCTGACTGGCAAACCTTATAAACTAGAAAAATGGGAAAGGATGAGTTCTGATGGCGCAAAAGAGGTCTTTTTTAAAATATAAATTATATATTTTTGAAAGGCATCTAGGGCGATCTAATTCTTGCATAAAAGGCAAGAAGGGAATTGACTCTTTCTAAAAAAATTAAGTATAATTTAATCTGCTTTATATTTGGTTATAGTTGTGTAGACCTCAATTTGCTAGAGCTGTTCATTCTACTTTTGATACAAGGACCAGGTTTTAATCCGGTCAATTCCTAGAGCGGTGTAATATTCACTGCAGGCAGTAGGTGGTATCGCTGTCCTAAGTTTTACAGGAATCCTCGCAAACGTCTCTGCCACTTGGATCCTGCCCTCAGCAAGAGTTTCCAGCTTGTATTTTGGCATTTTATGATAGATCCAAAGACAGAGACAGATCTTTGAATGGCCGGGAACAGTTTTCAAGAAAAACCCAAAATTTGGGCCTGGTGTCCCTCCAGAATCTTATCTTTGGCCATAGAAAGTAAATATTTCTTTATTGTTTAATTAATTTAATATATTTAATAAGTTTATACATCATAAGGGTTGGGTTTATGCATAGCACTGAAGTAAATCAACCCCATCATGGTTCAATATCCGAATCCTTCCTGCTTGGTTTAATTCAAACCATAGTTAAAACATAGTTACCCAGCCACTCACCAAGGCAGTAGCACAGGAAACTGGCCGCTGTTAGCTAATGTTATCATTAATTTTCCTTTGTAGCTTTGCTTTTCGCCACTTGGGGGGCTGGGTGGGTTACTGTTAGTTGCTTTGGTCCTTGAGAAAGGCCAGCGGTGAATCTAAAGAGCGCCTTCAAATTAATGTTCCAGATTGGATGGATCTACCCACGCAAGAGAGCACGTGCTCTCTTTGGCTTTATCCGTTTCAAAGGAAGCAAGGTTCCGTCCCTCATTGAAAACAGGGAGGGCAAATCCAAACCCAGAACCCACCTCAGGGTTCTGCTTTCCGCACGCCCCTTGGGAAATCTCTTCCACCCGTCTTCGCTGGCTATTTGATAACCCGTCCCCTCTTTTGTGGCAGTCTTCGGCCTCTATTACATCAGCCGGGGAATCCTACAGGAGAATCGACAGGAGCTGCTTGTCTTTGTCCTCTCTATCGCCTTGGTCATGCTCCGCTCCGTGATCAACTTCACCGTCCTGCCCGCCAAGCAGAAGCCGGAGTTGCTGGTGAGCATCTGGCGGGAGAGCTTCTTCCAGTGCCAGAGATGGCGAGGAGGGAATGATCGGGGCCCCCCGGTGGGTGAAGTGTGGGGGGGGATCCCCTTTCTAGTCCCCTTCACTCCCCTCTTCCACCAGGCTCGCTTCGTCCTGATCCTTCTGGTGGGGGCCTTTGACGTCTGCTGCGCCGTGATCTTGATCCAGAGTGAGAGCCGGATGGCCTTCCGAGTGGGCGGCGCCTTGGAGAGCCTCCAAACCCAGTACTTCATGCTGAATCTCTGCTTTTCCATGCTGACCTTTGACCTCCAGGCTCAGGTAACTCGCCGGCACCAAACCACGTTCCGGTTTTGAGTCCTCGGCCTGTCCGTCACGGATGTCCCCCATTCTGCCACCAAAGACGAACAAAACAGTCCTCCTCGCTGGTTGTTCTATTCCAGTGGCGGCTAACCTTTTTGGGGGGCTCCTGTGCCAAAAATTGTGTGCCTGCTTGCATGCTCACACTCACGTGCCAGCACCCAGAAGGCAATGCGCCTCCCCCACTCCCCCAACGCATGCGTGCGTAATACCCACCCGTCCCCTTACCTGCACTGTGCCTCACAGCTGATTTTTGGCCAGTTATTGGCCTTTCAAAGGCTTCAGGAAGGCTTCTGCAGGCTGAAAACTAGCCCTGTTTCGTCACTTCCAGTATTTCCGGAAAAGCAGGAAGTGATGAAACGGACCTAGTTTTCGGCCTGCAGCAGCCTTCCTGAAGCCTTTGGGAGGCTGAAAAAGGCCTCAAACCGACCGAAAATCAGCTGTGAGGTGCGCGCATGCCCAGTGAGGTAAGTTTGCCTGCAGCTTGCGTGCTGGCACAAATGGCTTTGCATGCCAATTGTGGCACATGTGCCATAGGTTCTCCATCACGGTTCTATCCTATTTCCCAGCTCTGTTTGTCTGTCCTGCTGCTGACCACAACCCGGGAGATTTCAAATCTGCACAGCGTGTTCCTGGCTGCTGGGATTTGCTGGGCTGTTCTGAAGGTAGCTTGCGGCATCACCGCAGTGAGTATTTTCAATAATGCTTACCAGGTGGGCGGGAGAAAAAAAGGAATTTTCTTTCGGTTGCTTTCCTATCGTGTAGAATTTGGGGGCTTGTCCAGCTCTGCTAATGGCTGTTTTTAACTCCCTACATTAATTCTCTCCATCTACAGGATTTGCGGAGAACCGTATAGCTCAGGGGCCCTCAAACTTGGCAACTTTAAGACTTGTGGACTTCAGCTGTGCTGGCTGAGGAATTCTGGAAGTTGAAGTCCACAAGTCTTAAAGTTGCCAAGTTTGGAGACCTCTGGTATTAGCTCTTCTTTCTTCCAAAGACGTCATCTGCTGCTGTATTTTGAATTTTTTTTCCCCCCGGCTAAAACTGATGTGATAGGTTTCTTTTGCAACTGTGAGCCTTCAGTCATTTCGTGCCTTTTGTTTTTTGCTTTGGGTTGTTTTTTTTTCAGATCTTAAAAGAGTTAAAACCTCTCGCCTGGATTTTTGTGATTCAGAATTTACCCGAAGTGGCTTATCTGGCATACCTTCTGTACGCGGTAAGTCTTGCTCAACAGTTTGCTGATTTCAGGAGGATAAGGGGGAAAATTTCTTGCTCGTTCAAAGGCGACCCCGGGAAAGAAGGAAGTTGAAAGGATGGCAGCAACTTGTCCCCTGAAATTCCTGAAATGGAATTGTGGAGCCCGAAGAAACAAGAAAATGCAAATTCCCAAAGCGTATCGCTTCTTTTAAAAGTACCCAGCATGATAAAAGGCAGGAAATTGGTTCGTAAGGCTGGTAAACCGTCGTGGAGGAAACAACAACAAAAAAAGCAGTTGTCCGTTTTGAAATTTGCAGGCATCCCCTTGCTTGTACGAGAACGACAAAAGCTTGGTTTCCGTCCATCATGTTCAGAACTCAGACCTAAATTCCTTTCTATCCAAGGACATCCAACGTCTCTTTCCTTTCTCTAGAGAGCGAAGCACCAAAGCTAAACGTTTTTCTGAATGCCACAATCACCTCCTTCAGTGATTTGTGTGCCACGACTCCGTTGTCTAAGGCAGGGGGTCTCCAACCTTGGCAACCTTAAGACTTGTGGACTTCAATTCCCAGAATTCTTCAGCCGGCAAAGCTAAAGATAATCTTAGCAACTTTTAAGACGCGTGGCCTTCCATTTTCCAGACTTCTGGGAATTTGAAGTCCACACATTTTAAGAGTTTCTAAAGTTGAAAAACCGCTGATCTTAAAAAAAAATAAAAATAAAAATGCCGGTAGGTCGAGCTAACTTGGACAGCTTTCCAAATGCCGGCTGAAGGTCCCTTTGGGAGCAGCCGTGTCAGGCCCTCAAGGTAAAGAAAAACAAAAACACAAGATTTTTGAGGCCTTGCAAAGCCCTTTTAACGTCAAACCATTCTGGAATGTTTCTCCTCGTCACTGCAGAGAAACCACCAGCCTTGAACAAAACAATCGCATTCTTTAAAAATAATAATAAAAGAGAGATAATCTTTCAGCAACCTCAACAGTAGGATTAAGCAAAGGGAGATAGAGCAACATTCCTTCTTCTTATTTCCTCCTTCTTCCTTTCCTTTCTCTTTTTCCTTTCCTTCTTCTTCCTTTCTTTTACTTTCCCTTCTCTCTTCCTTTCCTTCT